CTGGGCTCTGGTCACAGGCTGCATGTCCCTGGGGTAGGTCACTTCCCTCTCCATCCTCCTTCCCCATCGAGTCAATGCCCCCTGGGGCATTCAAAGGTGCTTTCCGGGCTGGGTTTCTCTGGCTGAGTCCAGGGCTTGGCGCTAGGTTAGAATTCAGGTTGAGCCCCCGGTGGCCTCCTTTTGTGTCTGGATCCTAGTTTGGCCTGGTTTCCCCTTCCCGGATTCCTGCTCCCCTTCAGGGTTTTGGATCAAGTCCAACCACCACCTCGGTGGCTAAGGCGGTGAAAGAGGAACACCGAGGTGTGGAGCGGGGCACCGTCCCCAGTCCCTGGGCCTCAGTTTCCCCATGCCCGCAGATCAAGCGAGAGCTGAGTGAGAACACGCCGCACCTGTCGGACGAGGCGCTGATGGGGCTGTCGGTGCGCGAGCTGAACCGGCACCTGCGCGGGCTCTCGGCCGAGGAGGTGACACGGCTCAAGCAGCGGCGCCGCACACTCAAAAACCGCGGCTACGCCGCCAGCTGCCGCGTGAAGCGCGTGTGCCAAAAGGAGGAGCTGCAGAAGCAGAAGTCGGAGCTGGAGCGCGAGGTGGACAAGCTGGCGCGCGAGAACGCCGCCATGCGCCTGGAGCTCGACGCGCTGCGCGGCAAGTGCGAGGCACTGCAGGGCTTCGCGCGCTCTGTGGCCGCAGCCCGCGGGCCCACCACGCTCGTGGCGCCAGCCAGCGTCATCACCATCGTCAAGTCCACCCCGGGCTCGGGGTCTGGCCCCGCCCCCGGAGCAGACCCCGCCCACGGCCCGGCCTCCTGCTCCTAGTGCCCGCCCCCGCCATGCCCCAGCCACGCCCCTCCGGCTCCAGCTCCCTCCCCAAAGTGCCTGAGCGCCGCCTCTGTGCCCAGGCCCCATTTCTCTGCAGCACTGGCCCCTTGGTGCACACACACTCCCTCCATGGGCCCTGTCTTCCTCTTGCAGCCCCCAAAACTGGGACCGCATGGCCCTGGGAAGGGGAACTTTGGTAGGTTGGGGATGGGACAGAGGTCTGGATCTGGAATCGCCCTTGGCTGAAAGTTTAGCCTTTTTAGATTGAGAGATACAGAGCCGGCTTAGAGAACAGCTGTTGGGGGAGAAGAGGGCACCCCTCATCTTGGAAACTGCTCTGATTGTGCCAATATGTCCTCCAAACCCTCCCAGGATTCAGAGCTAGGTTTGGCTGGCTGTGACTTAACGGGCCGTCCTGCTGAGAAATTGCACTGAAGAGATGCCTCCACCTCTGGTTTAGGCCTGGGGGTGCCTGACCTTCCGAAACTAAAAGAGTGGGTAGGAAGACTAGTGAAACCCAGTTCACAGATGGGGAAACAGGCCCGAGGTCACATTTCACTTAGTGGTTGTGCTGGGACCAAAATCTGGGTTTCCTCACTGCTGCCCTAAGATTCATTCCAGCCATGGTTTTCAGGGGGACAGTGGACAGGGACTCAGAAAGGTGGTGGGAGGGCATCCCTGGCCTGGGAGACCGCTTGCTGCAAGGGAGGGGGAGAGAAGCAGAGGGAGAGAGAAGGTGACATGGATGGAAGAGTGGGAAGAAGCTGGCCTGGTTCAGCCCTAGGCTGTCCCTGCAGCCAGGGTGTCCAGGGGCTGGCCAGTCAGAGAAACGGGGCCATGGACTGCTGTGGCAAATAGGGAGATAAGGAGACAGACCCTGCAGTCCTACTACAGCCTGGAGTGGGGTCCTAAGAAGAAGGGTACCACCTCGACCCCTGTCAGTGTCCACTGTGTGGTGGGGGCTGACCCCTGCCTTTGATTGTCATTCTCCTGGGAAGCCCAGCCTCAAGTCCCTCCCCCAACACGGTCCCCACTGCCCCTCCCCACTGTTTATTTATTGCACGGATCTAAGTTATTCTCCCCAGCCAGAGCCTGAGCTCCTGTTCCCTGGGGAAAGTGGCGTATGGCCCTGAGCTGGACTTTATATTTTATATCTGCAAATAAATCACATTTTATCTTATATTTAGGGAAAGCCGGATAGCAACAACAAAAAATGTTTAAGCCAGGCACGGTGGCTCACACCTGTAATCCCAGCACTTTGGGAGGCCAAGGAGAGGGATCGCTTGAGTCCAAGAGTTTGAGACCAGCCTGGACAACATGGTGAAACCCCGTCTCTACAAAAAATACAAAAATTAACCATGCTTGGTGGCTCATCATGCCTGTAGTCCCAGCTACTTGGGAGGCTGAGGCAGGAGGATCACTTAAGCCCAGAAGGCAGAGGCTGTAGTGAGTTGAGATCGCACCACTGCACTCCAGCCTGGGCAACACAGCAAAACCCTGTCTCAAAAAAAAAAAGTTTAAAAATATTGCCCGGCTCCTAGAATTTATTTATTTCCTGACTTACAGCAAGCGAGTTATCGCCTTCTGTATTTTGTAGACTTTCTAAATAAAGTCAAGTTCTTTTTCCACAGAGAATAAGTGTGTATCCTGGACTATCTTTGTTGGAGAGGGGTGTCTAGAATGGGTTTCTGCTTTCAACCCCTTGGGGCCTCTGGTGGTGGGGAGGGCTAGTGCACATCACCAGCTGTTGCACAGGGTATGAGGTGGGGTGGAGACGGCTACAGAGACCAGCGGTGCTGAAACTTCCATGCTTCCTTTTGGTTGCTTAGAGCACAGGAGCTCCTGGGGAAAACAAAGCCATGAACGCAGTGAAATTTAGAGCTACATTCTGGCGGAGCATGGTGGCTCACACCTGTAATCCCAGCACTTTGGGAGGCTGAAGCAAGAGGATCATTTGAGACTAAGAGTCCAAGATGAACCCGGGCTACACAGTGAGACCCCATCTCTACAACAAATAAAAAATAATTAGCCACGTATGGTGGTACACGTGCCTATTGTTCCAGCTACTGGAGAGGCTGGGGTGGGAGGATCACTTGAGGCTAGGAGTTTGAGACCAGTCTGGGCAACATAGCAAGACCCCCATCTCTACAAGAAATTTAAAAATAAGAAAACAGGCTGGGCACGGTGGCTCACACCTATAATCCCGGCACTCTGGGAGGCCGAGGCGGGTGGATCATTTGAGGTTAGGAGTTCAAGACCAGCCTGACCAACATGGTGAAACCCCATCTCTACTAAACATACAAAAAAACAAAAAACAAAAAACACTCGAGTATGGTGGTGCACGTCTGTAGTCCCGGCTACTCAGGAGGTTGAGACAGCAGAATTGCTTAAACCTGGGAAGCGGAGGTTGCAGTGAGCTGAGATCGCGCCACTGCACTCCAGCCTGGGTGACAGAGCGAGACTCCATCTCAAAAAAAAAAAAAAAAGTTAGCCATAGTGGTGTGGTTGAGCCCAGGAGTTCGAGGCTGCAGTGAGCTATGATTGTACCACTGCACAATCTAGGTGACAGAGACCCTGTCTCAAAAGAAATTTAGGGTTAAATTCCCGGGCATCCCTTTAGTGAACAGACACTCCCACCCAGAGAGGAAAAAACCCAGATTTCGGAGTCATTTTTCCAGCACTTTCACACTGAGGTCTGATTTTCTACAGCCAAGTAGAAACAATCTTCCCTATGTTTCAGAAGGCCCACGGAGGCAGAGTGGCTTTCCCAGCCCGTCTGCAGACCTAAACCATGACCCTTGTCTTGTCCTAGGCCTCAAACTCACTAATTTCAACCCAATCTGCCAGCCCTTCTGGGGCACCCTGAAGGAGCTAGTGGAGTGTACTGTGGTCTGTGGGTCACGGCAACTGGGGTTTGAATCTAGGTGTCTGTTCTTAGCTGTGGGATCTTTGGTACTTATTTGATTGCTCACAGCCTCAGTTTACCCATCTGTAAAATGAACATGCTATGGGGCATGAGGCGTGAAAAACCCTGGGGACCCTGTGCTACAGGTTTTTTTTTTTTTTTTTTTTTGAGATGGAGTCTCGCTCTGTCGCCCAGGCTGGAGTGCAGTGGCCAGATCTCAGCTCACTGCAAGCTCCGCCTCCCGGGTTCACGCCATTCTCCTGCCTCAGCCTCCCGAGTAGCTGGGACTACAGGCGCCCGCCACCTCGCCCGGCTAGTTTTTCGTATTTTTTAGTAGAGACAGAGTTTCACCGTGTTAGCCAGGATGGTCTCGATCTCCTGACCTCGTGATCCGCCCGTCTCGGCCTCCCAAAGTGCTGGGATTACAGGCTTGAGCCACCGCACCCGGCTGGGCTGCAAGTTTTAACACTCAGAACACACATTTACAGTGGCACAGACTGAGGTGAGGTCAACTGTGGGGCTGGGTATGGGGCCGGTGGGGTAAGGCACCAGCTGGGCAAAGGTGCAGGATTTGAGTCCTGGAAAGGGCCAAATCGCATAGGTCAGCCACGTCCACGGGGCTTTCTCCCCTTTTCAGGTTGGGGCTCGGTGCTTTCCCTGCCAAGACCATGACCCTGAAATACTGAGTTCAGTCCTGCCGGAAGGGCAGCAGGAAGCTGCGGGAGGACGCAGGACCCGCCTCGGGAGGCTGGCGGGAATTCCCCCACCCACGCTGCATTCCTGAGTGCTCCCGTCAGCAGCAAGCCAGGCCCTGAGAAGGCATGCGGTACCAGAGAGGCCAGGCACTGTGCCCACGACCAGAGGCCCCCTGCCCCAGGGTCCCTGGCCCTGAGGGTCCCAGGGTGGAGGATGGGCCCAGAGATGCAGGAAGCTTGTCTGGAAAGGGGATCCTAGGAAATCCTGGGAGAAGCCTGCAGGAGCAGGGCTGCCAGCATGTGGGCCCCATCGACCTGGTTGACCAAACAGGGAAGGAGCATTGACCACCTGCAGCCCGGCTCTCTGTCCTGGGGTGGGAGCTTCCTGGGGGCTGGGGAGACCCTTTGTCCGAGGGGGGCCTGGGCCTTGACCTTGGTCCTGGTCAATCTGAACCCCCATCACTTAAAGGTTACACAGGAAGGAGAGGGTTTCCTAAGCCGCCCCTGCCCACAGCCACTCCACCCACTCCAAACGCAACACAGGGGGCAGGGAGGAGGAAGGAAAAACCTCACCCACATGCAGAGATTTCAATACAATCTATATTATCTCATATATATATTCTTCCTCACTTTATTTGCTCACTTCTGTCACGCATTTAAAATGTCACAGAGACCAAAATAGAGTGGCTTTCTGGTGGAACTCATGGCAGTCATACAACAAGATACAAAACTAGGAGACTCTGTCTTCTCATACATCATACAATTAATTTTTCAAGTATTCTTTATGTACAAAGAGCTACTCTATCTGGAAAGAAAATTAAAAAAAAAAAAAAAAAAAAAAAAGACAAGGTAGGTTATGCATCCTAAGGAGGAGGAGGGGATGGAGCGGTTGGGCACGTGTTCCCATCCCCATGACCCCAGGGACCACTGATTCCCTGCCACTGAGCTCCCCCCAACCCCACCCTCCACGCAAACGGCAACGCTGGGGCAGGTGATGACCAAGGGGGTGGGAGTCAGCAGCACACTTTGGCCTGGAGGGAGAAGGGAAGCTACGTCGGAGACAGCTTGGCGAAAGCAGACGGCAGGGGCAGGGCCAGGGCTGGTCCTCAGCCTGTGTCTGTACCCACCTTCCCGGGTCAGGCCCCCCAAGACGGAGGGGGAGAGCTGGCCTCTGGCACCCACATGCAGGCCTCTGCCACAAGGGAAGGAAGGAGGCCAGGAAGACAGCCAGGCCCCGACTCTCCTCACAGGTGGCAGGGAGGGAACCCGTTCATTCCAGGAAGGACCAAAAGAAAGAATCCCCAGTGAACACCGGCAGAGTCCCTCTCCCTTACCCTACCAGCTTCTCGAGGCTACTGCAGCCCAAACCCAGGGATAATCTGGGTTTTAGATGCCAGGACACTGCCTGTAGGGACATGTGTTGTGACACGAGGCTCTTCCTAAGTCAGGAGCTGGTATAAGCCCAGCCTGCTGGGGGCTCTGGCTCCGGAGGCTCCAGGTCTAGAAGTGTGGAGGGGGAGAGGAGGGACTTGGTGGTCCTGAACACTCCTGAGGCCTGTCTGAGGGCTCTGGGCCCAGCACTGCAGGATCCTGTGAGCGCCAGCAGCTGAACGAAGAGCCCCAGGGAGCATGTGGGACAGACAGGGAGCCAGAGAGGGGCGCTTTCATATGTGACTAAGGCACAGAAGAGATGGGCCAGGGGCCGGATGGGGCAGAACACCAGGCCCTGTGTAGATGGGGGTCCCGAGAGGAGTCTGGGACCATTCCCCCACCTCTCAGCTCCCCACCGTGTGGCCACCCCTCCCAGCCTCCCTGCCAGACTGCCTTCCCGCGGAAGCTGGTCTGAAACATGGAGACTCAGACCTTTCCCCTGAAATGGGAGGGAGAAGCCCCAGAGAGAGAGAGGACCCAGCATCAGCCTGGGAGCGAGGGCTGGGAGCCCCTGAACCCTGGAGCAGCCAGGAAGCAAGGGCTCTGCCCAAAGCTATCGAGGAAGGACCCAGGTGAGCCGGCAGTGCGGGCTGTGGGCTGTCCTTGGTAGGCCAGGGGGAAGGGGCATGAGGCAGGCAGAGGTGTGGCCATGATAGGCGGGGACACCCAGGGGCCCAGAAGCCCCTGCTTCAACAGAAGTGGTGCCCAGAGGCCCCTGAATGCCCTTTCTGGGTGGGGCCTGTGCCTCCTGGTGTCTGGCTCTGATCCTTGCAGCATGCCAGGGAGGTCAGGAGGGGAGGACCACAGAGCGCCCACATCCCCGCTCCTGCCCGGGGTGAGGTGAATCTAGCACTGGACAAAGGTGGACAGGGGAGGATGCAGGCGGGAAGAGCCCAGCTCAGACAGGGTATTGCACGGTGTGTGTGTGGGCCACGGCTTGCCGACCTCAGCCTGAGAGTCTCGCGGGGAGAAGGGGCTAGAAGGCTGCAGCCGCTGGTCCACACACAAGCACTGGGGCCTGGGCGCGGCTGGTCCCAGCATGCCCCCAGCACAGGATGGGCAGCAGGGGCATGAGCCTTGCTCCCAGTGTCCTCTGCCCTCGCCCGGGCAGTGCAGGCTGGGCCGTATATAAATATTCCTGAAGGCCCATGGGCAAGCCTGGCTGTCCCCAGTTCCTCTGGAAGTGACATGTGAGTGTTTCTGGTCCAATAAATAAATGGCGGCGTGAGTGCTGTGCCAGCTGCCTCCTGGCCTGGTGGTGTGGCTGGAGGTGGGGCACAGCCTGACCATGGCTACGGCGCCAGCACTTCTGCCACCACAGCCCGCACCTAGAACTCATCATCAGAGCTGAGCAGGAGAGTCTTCTCGTTGTCGCGGGCGCCACTGAGGCTGTGGGAGCGGGATAGGCCATGGGCGCCACCACGCCAGGCAGGCCCAGGCTCCAGGGTGGAGTGCTGCGTGTACTGCTGGTAGGCGGGTGAGAAGTTGTGGATGGCGTCCTGCACGATGTCATGCGGGCTCATGGTCTCCTTGAGGCTGCTGGAGATGCTCTTCATGGGGGCGCAGCGGCCTGCCGGGCAGGGGGCAGGAGGGGCGGGTGAGGAGGCTGCTCAGCCTCTGCCCATGATCCCCCCTAGCCCAAAGCTGTGCCCTTCCACCACCCCTTCTGGGACAGAGAATCGGGTCCAGGATATGAAAAGGGGCAGGAAAAAATGGACTCCTTTGGCTGAGGAGCCCCAAGGGGAGGCTCAACTGTGAAGAGGAGCAGATGTAACCCCCCACTGGAGCCAGGCCGGCTGGGGGAGGGACCGAGGCTAGAGATTGGCGAGCTATGGGCAGTGAGCCTGGAATGCCCCAGAGAGGCCAGGGCAGGCTCAACCGACTGAAGTCGGGGCATGTGGGGCCAGAGGGCCTGGAAGCCAGGGGTGCCCTGTTCCACAGGCGCCAGACGCGTCCCCTACCACCTGGGGAAGTGCTGTGCTCCCTCCACTCTGGAGAGTGCGCCAGGGGCTGGCCCCATCAGGACCAGGCTGGCCTGCACCCCCAGGGCAGCAGATGCGACTCACTGGCTCCCTGTAAGAGGGCTTCCTCCTCATCTCCTCTAATCAATCGTCCCGTCCTCGCGGGTTCAGAGGGGAAAAGCAGCCCAGGAAACAAAACCTGGATGTAAGGGGCAAGCCTAACTCCAGAACCCAGGATTCCTGACTCAGCTTGTGAACTCTTGGAAACATTGTGAAATGCCCCGATATCCCATGAAGAGCACGGTGACCCCAGAAGAGGGCGGGGCATATTCCAGAACGAGAGACCAAGATGGAAGCAGGCAAGCTTTACAGAGGGTGGCCCTTGGCAGGTGCTCTGGGCACTCCCACCCAGGGGTGCCAATGGGGAGGAGATGAGAACACAGAGGAGCTACAAAGAGAGGCATGCCAGTGACAGTGACCAGAACTGACGTGCAGGACAGACATGCAGACCAAGAGCGGGACCTACCGTAAGGGCCGTATGTTGGCACTGCCCACGGCCAAACCCCGGGCAAAAGCAGGGCAAGGGGGGTGGGGAGAGAAGCCAAAGAAATAGAGAAGACAAGAGACAGCTGAGTGAACAATGTGTGCCCACCACCGAGGCCCACCAGCACGACATACCACACACCCTGCCCCCACCCCTCTAGGCCCCCACAGGGCACCCAGGAAGCTCCAGGTGCCTCCTGGGGCTTGGCAGGGGGAATATCCACCTAGGGATGACTCCTCCCCTGGTGTTCACGCCAACAGGAAACATCCGCCTGGCGGCTGAGTTCCGCCTCCACGTCTAGGTCAGGACGTCCCATCCCCACTTCTTCCCAGGCTAGCCTGGGGCCACATCTGCACCTCATATTTTACAAACCTCACAACACTTCCCAGACCAGGACATGGAGGCTCGGAGGGAGGGGTTATGATTGCACAGCTGAGCCAGCTCTGCACCCAAGCCTATCCTGAGGGCTAAGGGTCTGCGCCTGGGTTAGAGGGTAGCAGGGGGCTCAGGACCAGTGCAGAGGCAGAGAAGGGCAAGCGGCTTCCCCGGCCGGGTGCGGGTATGTCTAGGAGCGGTGTGTGGAGGGACAGCTCAGGCTGGGCGGCAGAGACCCAGTGGGGCAGGAATGGTTCTTTGCCGTGCCCCCCCTTGCCCCTTGGGGTGGCCCCAGGCCCCAGGACGATGTTCCTACGGGCACAGGGTATGCCAGACCAGGTCCAAGGGACATTGCCCTCAATGCTGGGTGGGTGTTTGCTAGGTCCTTCCAACTGGGCCATCAGCTGGCAAGCCCTGGCCTTTGTGCGCCTGCTCTTTGGGCCATAGAGTAGGTCTTCCCCGACCAGGGAAGGCACAGAGGAAGGAGGGTGGGAAGGAAGGGGAGCCCCGCTGCAGGCAGACATTTCTACACTCACACTACCCACCACGGAGCCTGTGTGGACCTGCAGGTAGGCCCTGGGGAAGTGGGTTTCTTGCCTCCAGCCACTCGGGCAGACAGCTGGCAGCAGCCAGGCTCCTGGGTAGATGTGTCAGAGAAGGAGGCTCCCCTCTCCCCAGTTCCTCCTGCCCCTTCACTGGCTCAGTCATTCTCAGGCCTTCCCAGCCTCCTCTTCCCCATCCTCCAAGGACAAGCCCCTCTGCCCAGTGGCCAGAGGCAGCCCTTCTGGCCCACTGGAGCGTCTGGGCAGCAGCACATTCACACCACCCTGGGAGTGCTTAAAGCACAGAACTCTCAGAGCACACAGCCTGCCAGCCCAGGCCCATTACAGCGGCATCTCCGAGGGTGGGGCTGGTATCAGCCCTTTCAAAAGCTCTCCAGGGCATTTTCCAGTACAACTGGGGCCACTTACCACTGTTCTAGCAAGAAGATTCGCAGGTGTAAAAGAAAGCTGTTAAAACCTATTACCATCCGAGTCTGTTTCTCAGAAGTATTCTTTTTTTAAAACATAGTATATGAGATGAGGGAATTAATTACAGGACAAAATGGTAACCACAGTGTTGGGTGTCAGAAGCCTGAGGGAATTTGTCTATTCATTAGTCTCTGTCTGTATCATCCCTGGGTCTCCACACTTGGACCTGCTGCAAGAGACAGGTGGCCTGAGCTTCCAGGACCGAATCCGTAGTGCTGGTGGCACCTGCTCTTCCCCGACCTCTGTGGCCCCATTTCTGCACATAGAGTGGGGATCCCATGTCCTGACCCAGCCGCACCTGTAGGATGCTGGGAGGTGGGAGGGCCCTGGGATGTTTGGGGCTCCCTGCTTCTCCCAATGGGGGTCACCTAGGACCCTGGCTCATACCTTGTGCGTCCAGTCTCTTGTCAGCATAGACCTTGTAGGTGAAGGCGTGCCGCAGGGCCAGGGCTGCAAAGAACATCTCCACACAGATGATGAAGTCCTGGTAGCCAGCAGCCACAGTGCCCTCGCCCACCGACACGCGGGCCGAGTGGATTTTGGGGATGGCCCCACACTTCTCCAGGATGGCCAGGAGCATGCCTGGATGAGGAGGCATGGGTGTCTGGACCCAGACTGGTCCCCTTCCTGGTCCCCCATCTTCCACAATGCCCCACGCAGCTACCCACACACCCCAGTAAGGAAGTAAGCAGGGCCACAGCTGCTCCTGTAGGGCAGGAGTAGCGACACAAGGCCACAGCCTCCGGAAACCCCGCTCTCCCAGCTCTTTGCCAGCCACCAAAACTGAGATGTCAGCGATTTCACAGGGTCTCCTAGGCCCTCCCATCCATGTAGCGGCCCCACCAAATCTCCCCCATCCCCTGGGAAAGGCCCTTGAGGGCTCAGATTTCACCCCCAGCAAGTGCCCAGTGGGCTGAGGCCCCTCTGAACAGGCCCTGCGGGCACCGGGGACCATAAGCAGAAGGGGCAGCAGGAAGCACAGAGGACAGGGCAGCATGGGCAGCCTCGAGGCGCTGGGAGGGGGCTCACCTTGCCAGAAGGAGAGAAAGATGACAGACTTGACCATGAAGAACTTGAGGACGGGGCTGTAGGGGCTGAGCAGCTCCCGGGTGGCAAAGTAGAACAGGAAGAGGGCGTAGAGGGCCAGGCTGACGGAGATGTTGTAGATGATGGTCACGTAGAGGTAGCCGCTGGTGACACTGCAGGATGGGGAGCATTTTCTGGCTGGGACAGACCCTTGGAGGGAAGGGGCTCTCCTCGACTGCACCACACACAGTCCCCATGGCTCTTAGCCCCACATGTCCAGCAGAGCTCAAAGAGCCACTGAAGGGGTCAGAGGGGGTGATCAAAGCGACAGACAGGGGTGGGGGTGTACGGGGTGCGTCTGCAGGCCAGACCAGCTCTGCTGCCTTTGCGTGACTCATGGACTTATCTACGCCCTGGTGCCCACACTCCTAACACTGGACACCAGTGGGGAAGCCAGGGCTGAGCTGGAGGCCATAGCCTGACAGGCAGATAACAGGTGTCAAAGTGGGTGACGCTGCTTAGCTCTGCTGCCTTTTCACTCGGTCGGCTGCATCCCCCTGACCTCCCTCGCTCACCTGCCCTGGTAGGGCTGTTGTGCAGTTTACAGACAGTGTGTGCCAAGTGCTTCAAAGCACAGGGCTAGACACATGGTCACTTTTTTCTTTTTTGAGAGACGGAGTTTTGTTCTTGTCACCCAAGCTGGAGTGCAATGGCGTGATCTCGGCTCACCACAACCTCTGGCTCCTGGGTTCTAGCGATTCTCTTGCCTCAGCCTCCCGAGTAGCTGGGATTACAGGCACCCCGTCACCATGCCCGGTTAATTTTTTGTATTTTTAGTAGAAATGGGGTCTCACCATGTTGGCCAGGCTGGTCTTGAACTCCTGACCTCAGGTGATCCACCAGCATTGGCCTCCCAAAGTGCTGGGATTACAGGCGTGAGGCACGATGCCCAGCCACATGGTCATTTTCACTAAGCCCAGAATGAAATGCGTGTGGTCAATTTACACGGCAGGGGCTTATGTACCTGTGGACTTGAGCCGACCTCTTGGGGCTCTGACCCTCTCGCTCCCTGCCTCAGCAGTGGTCACTGTCCCTTTGTGGCCCATCCCTTCACGGTACCACTCTGCAGCCTGGACGTGAATGTGACTGCTGCCAATGGTTCACTCCTGGGCCGGCAGCGGGGCCAACTGCAAGGGTGTCCACTGCTGGGCTCGGACTTCAGGGGGGCGTGAACACCAGGCACCCAGGAAGGTCACGGCTGTGCGGTCACTCTGGCTGCCCCCTTCCCTGAGCCAAGGCACCAGCCTGTGCCAACACTCCTCCCACACACCCCGGGGAGCACCCGCTGCTTACTCAAAGTCCCCATCCCGGTACTTGCCGAAGGCCTGGAGGACCACAGTGCTGACCGCCATGAGTGGCTTCACCACACAGAACTGCAGGGTGGCCTGTCGGGGGGAAAAGGAGGTCGAGTGTGGAGGAGGAGCGCAGAAGGCATGAAGCAAGCTCTGCTTCTGGCAGCCAGAACTGTGCCGGATGGAGGGACAGAGAGGACGAAGGGGACGGAGAGAACGGAGGGGACGGAGGGGACGGAGGGATGGAGGGACGGAGGGGTTGGAGGGACGAAGGGATGGAGGGGATGGAAGGATGGAGGGGATGGAAGGATAGAGGGGATGGGGGGGATGGGGGGATGGCTCTGTGTCCTGCTCCCAGGTGACTGCTGTCTGCATGGGGCAGAGGGCAGAACATATAGGAGATGCAGCCACGCAATGCCGTGTGTGCGATGAGCATGTGGAGGAAGGAAGGAACAGGGTGGCAGGGTATGATGGAGGCAGGGGACAGGAGATGCACACAAGGAAGCTTCCCAAGCCAGGACCATCAGGAGGGTGCCGGAGACTAAAGGTTCGACAGGCAGAGGAGGCAGCTTGCACTAAGGCCCCGAGGTAGAGGGTGGACAAGTGCAAGGGGCTGCGCACTGGAGAGATGGCCGAGGAAATGGACAGGGCCAGGTCCTAGAGACCTTGGTGCCTGGAGCAAGGCTGGGGCCCCGCTCAAGGAACCAGCCACCGCGGAGCCAGCACAGGTGAGGGCCTCCTCCCATCCTCCAGGTCCACCCCCTGTCTGGTTCCTGGCCCCACTCTCTGGGTCTGGGTCCAGAGTTTCTGGTGAGCAGAGGTCACTCTGGGGATGGGGTGACTCAGGAAATGTAGCCCCAGAGCATGTGGACTCCACAGTCTCGAAATCTGAGTTTGAACTCTGGGGACAGCTTGGGCAGTCACTTGGCCTCTGAGCACAGACTCCCTGGTGAAAAGGACGTAGTCACTCCCCACACCACAGGGCCACTGCTGCGGGGTGGCACAGCCAGGAAGCGCAGTGTCTTCTCGGGAGTCTCCCGCCTCTGGGCATGCACTAACGGCGCCTGCTAGTTGGCTGAGCCACGGAAAGAATTCCTCAGCCAGGTTTTCCCGATCCCCTACAGGAGGACCCGTGGTGCCCATAACATCACTAGTATCACCATTATCTTGAAAGCAAATAAATCTAAGCCCTAAGGCCCCTCCTGAGGAGCTGGGGGGTGGTTAAATCCAATCCAAAAGGCTCAGCTAGTGTAGCTGCAAGAAGGACGAGGAGCCTGGAGTGCGAACAGTGATCTGTGGAACCTGCAGCTTCTGCCCCAACCGGGGATCTGAGCCAGGCTTGCAGGGGAGCCCCAGGCAGCCCACACCATGGGGCTGCCATACGGAGAGGCGTGTGTGATGGGGCAGACGTGTAGTCCCACTCTCAGAAAGCCCCAAAGAACGTCCCTGGCCCTGTCATCCCGCCTAGAAGAAGTGGGACTGGCACCTTCTGGGGAAAAGGGAAGAGCGGCAGTTTGCGTGAGTTCTAGTTATGAGCCTGGGAAAAGGGAAGAGCAGCAGTATGAGTGAATTCTAGTTATGAGCCTGGCAGCAGGCTGGTGCTTCCTTGGGTCAGTTCACCTAGTACTCATGACAGCCCCCTGATGTGGGTGCTATCATTATCCTCATGGTACAGATGAGGAAACTGAGGCACAGAGAAGCTGAAGCAGCAGAAGCAGAGCCCAGGCCAGTAGGCCCCAGAATCATCACCTCACCATACCCTGGACCAGTCAGCAGTTCCCAGGCTGGGCTGGACATCAGAACCCCCCGGGGAGTTTTAGACACGTGCCAGGTTCCAGGGCTCCATTCCAGAGCTTCTCCCGCGGGCTAGGGCAGTGAATGGTGATCGGGAATCTCTGCTTTAAATAGGGAATCTCTCCAGAAGATCTGGATATTGAGCGCTGGCCCTGAGGAGTCAAAGGCCTGTCTCTGTGCCCCAGGACAAAGCTGTGGGGTGTGCTCTCTCGCCTTGGTAAAGAAAGGAAGAGGCCTCTTTTGTTCTCCTACTTCTTATATCTCTCCTTGCCACCGCCAGGAACAAAAGCAGAACATCTGAGCCCACAGGGCTGGGGAATCATTTCTAACAAGGCCACCGTAGCTAACAATCATGAAATCAAAACTTTGTAGACAATATAATCATCAAACAAGGCGGTGAGTCACAGCTGGCCGGAACCTGGGTGGCTGCACCAACTGGTAAACAATGGCTCTCAATGCCCCACCCTGAACCCAGGATAGTTTTAACTCTTTCCCTGCAGGGCCAGTGGTGAGATTCTGAATTTAGGAACATGCTAAGGAAGGAAGGTCTGGAAGCAGAACTGGAGACCTGGCATGGCCAGGCAGAGGCTTTGTGGGTGTGCCCGCCTTGTGGCCTGGGCCCTGCACAGAAGGGAGCAGCAGGCCCTGCCCTCCCTGCCCAAGCCACAGTGACTTGGCTGTGGGTTTCGTATCCTTTCGTGACTACTCTTGGTGAAGCTGGAGAGGCTGACATGACAGAGCCCCTACGGAGCCCCAGAGGAGACTAGGTCACGAAGACTGGGCGTGATCCCCTCCGACTCTGCCTCCCTGAACAGGAGGCCATGGACTCCGCCATGCCGGGCTGAAAGCTCTACATCCATGACCTCATCTGATCCTCACAACCATCTCTCGAGAGGGGTATCATTACACTCATTTTACAGTGGAGGAAACTAAAGCTCAGAGAGGGTAAGCCAATTATCCAAGGTCACACAGTCAGAAGAAAAGCTGGAAATCAGGCCCGGATGGTCAGACACCCAGGACCACACACTGAGTGACCCCACCACGCTGCCTCCACCCAGGTTACTCTAGACCACACGGAGGTCAGCCCAGGAAGCCAGAGCGGCCGGACTGCCAACCAGGAAATGCAGGGAGAGATGGCACAGGCCTGTTCTAGCGTGTGTCTTTAATGCCAAAACCCTCCCGCCCCCTAGCTGCAGCTGATGAGAAGTTTTCAAATGGAAGTTCTAGAATCCCCATGCACTTCTGATTCTCACACACACCAAGACTTGGTCACATGAGCAAGAGTCTGGGCTCAGCTCTTGCCCACAGTGCAGCAGACACTCCCAGGATGCCGGTCGCTGCCCCTCCAAGCACACCCTGCTAATGTGGTGCCTGCCTAACAGCTTCGGGGGCTGGGTGCTGGGGGCCTGGGGGGCCTCATAGGAAAGGGAACCTCTTCAGGTGGGGCCCAGGGCAGCCCAGGGCAGCGTTTCCCAGTCCCCACCCTGCTCCTCCTGACCTAGGCAGCTGCTGGGGGCACACACCTGTTTGCAGAACCGCAGAAATCCGATGGAGTAAGTCTTTCCCCAGAGGCAGCAGGTGCCATACACACAGCTGGACCTGGAAGAGACAAGCATGGGATGCAGCAGCGGTGAGTGAAGAGCCAGGACTTAGGAACGGTGGGGTGGGGAAGGCCGCCCTCCCATCCATCCAGAGGAGCTGGGGCACACATCCCGGGCAGACTTTGAACCCGAGGCCAAGCACAGGGAGAGGTATGGCAGGGCATCTGCACGTGCCATAGGCGGAGGGACACAGGGCTGCACTGGCCCTGGGGTGACAAACCAACTTGGAAAGCTCTGAATGTAAAAACTGCAGGAGGCAGAAACAGACAGGAAAGCACTAAGACTGAGACGGGAAGAGAGAGACAGAGAGAATGAGCTGCAGAGGCCCTCCTCAACGCCAAGAAGAATGGCTCAGGAAATGTGGCGAGGCACAGCAGGTCAAGGTCACGGGCAGAGATGGTCTGTGTCCAGCTGGTGCCAGGACAGCTCCAGGTACACAAGGCCCAGGAAACGGGGTGGTTTAGGGCTCCAGGAAGACTCCATACTCACTCAATGGGTTTTCCTCTGATCTCCGACATGATGGAACTTTCTCCTCCTAGGTACTCATAGCACAGGCTCAGGAAATTATAGATGACCAAGGCTGTGAAAACAGTGTCCAGGGGAAACCAGTCAAAACAGCAGAATGGGTCCACAGATGCTGGGATTCTAAACGGCAATGGAGGTGAAAGAGCCACAGCCGTGTGTGGCAACAGGGAGGAGCCTGGGAGACATAAGGTTGTGCAAAAGGAGCCTGTCAAGAACGCACACAGCTGACCTTCCGCTCCTAAGTTCAAATCCCGGCACACCTAAATTATCTTACCCAGGGATGCACCCCTACACTGGCGTAATACTACAAAGGGAAGCAAGGAAGGGACTGCTGTGAGTTCAGGGTTATGTGGGGAGGCCGGAGAAGGCTGAGATAAGGGTGGGCACTCAGGAGGTTTGGGAGGGCTGGCAGTGTTGACCCTGGGGGGAAGCGGTATTGGCCTTATTAGTTTTTCCAGGCGCAGTGGCATGTGCCTGTGGTCCCAGCTACTGCTGAGGCAGGAGGACAGCTTGAGTCTGGGCGTTCTGGGCTGTAGTGTGCTATGTCGATCTGGTGTCTGCACCGAGACTGGTAGTAGTATGGTGATCTCCTGGGAGTGGGGGATCACCAAGTTGCCTAAGGAGGGGTGAACCAGCCCAGGCTGGAAACAGAGCAAGTGCAACTCCAGAGTGGGATCGCACCTCTGAATGGCCACTGCACTCCAGCCTGGGCAACACAGCGAGACCTCATCTCTAATGTATTTATAAGTAAATATTTGTCTTACATATTTGTGTGCTACAGATCACAATTTTATAAGATAACAACAAAACAGTCTCTATGAAAATCTTGGGAGAAATTGCAAGCAGGAATGAGAGCGCAGAACCTTCATCCAGTCAACAACCGGTAGCGGTATCCGGAATACGCACAGCACTGTGAGCTACAACAAAGCACACAAGCAGCACAGAGCACAGTGCAGAAACCTCGGGAAGCTCAGGCTGCTCATTCTCAATTGGGACCCGGCTCAACATCTCCACAAAGACCCAAAATTTGCCACAGGGAGTGATGGCACAGCACGTCTGCTGTAAATGTGGATGCTATAAATACAGCAACACGCTGTAACGGGTCTCCTGGTCAGCGGGTTTCTGCTGGGTCAGCAAAATGAAGACTGCTGCCTGCAGGGTGCTAGAGGCAAATGGATAGACCAGGATGGAGGAGAGCATGGAGAAGAGGAAGAGGGGTGCAGCAGAGGGTACCCAAAAGGAACGAACGCAAGAGGAAGAGCCAGAGCGAGGACATGGGAATGAGGATGGGCATCCAGCAAAGGCACAAAGCCAAGGGGAGGGGCAGAACAGGGTCAGGGGAACAGGTCGAGGGAGCCACAGTGGCCCTGCAGCCAGAGGGCTCCTTCTCATCCCATCCCGCCAGCCCCTGCAGCATAAAGTCCTTTAAGGCTCCCTGGTGCTGCCCAGCTTGGCACTTGGTCTTTCAATGGGTGACCTAGTCCCTGCCCATGCTCCCGCCACTCCCGAGCAGCACTAACGCTGCGCTTCTCCCCAGAGCAGGTTCTCTACCCTTTGGTGCTTCTGCACTCCCAGATCCCAGAGGCTCCAGAGCCCTTCCCGCTGTGCTCTCAGGATCCATTAACCCCCGCTGGACAGCACCCAGTGTGACAAGTCCCCGGTGACCATCGTGGAATTGAGTGCCCTCCTACCCATGGAACCTGACTTGCAGACACTTCCCAGCGCTTCCCACCCTGTGTCATAAAGACTGTCTCCTCCTCTTCTTCCTCAGGACACAGGCGCACTGGTGGCACACACATGGCACACCACAACTGTTTCACTGACTGAAGTGGGGCGTGGAAAGCCCTGGTGATGCTTTTTAGGCAAAGCTGGCCTTCAGCAATTTGGAAAGGAACATATTTGCGGCATTTTACGCGACTCACAGTTGCCCTAACCCATTAAGCGCTCCCATCTCCAGGTGACATCCACATATAATATCCATGAAGAAACGGATGGTTATTTTACACTAGTGTGTTTTAGTAGTAATTATTTGCACAGCCATGGTAAGTGGAATACAGATAAAACCATGACTGAAGCTCCTCCCTATATGTCCCCCAGCGCTGACTACGCCTTGTTGTGACTGTCCCTTTGCCCTTCACACACATACAGCAGAGGTATGCGATGTGTGTGAGCCTCTTTGGGTTCAGTTTCCTCATCTATCAAAGGGGATCACAGGAGCACCAACTTGGCAGGTGGCTGTGAAGCGTGAGCATCAAAGTGCTCAGAAACGTGTCCGGGGCGCGCTGCGCTAGGTGTTGGCTGTCACGACCATTACTGTCTATGTGCTGCCTGCAGGACCAGGAGCCCCTAGACAGGGCTGAGGGCCGTGTGTACTGCCTGCCTGTGCTGGAGGCAGCTCAGGATGTCTCAGGACAGACGAGTCTCCACCAATCTCCAGATGACTCTTCACCAGCAAGAACTATGGAGCAAAGGGCAAGGGGTGGTGGGCATTAAGCCAAACGTGGTATCAGCCTGTCAGTAACCTCCGTTCAAAACCTCACAAGGCCAAGCACAATGACTGTCCATTCTAAGCCGGGTCCAGCTATATTGTGACAGTTGTATTTTCTTTTTTGTTTGTTTGGGTTTTGTTTTTTATTTTTTTGAGACAGAGTCTCACTCTGTTGCTCAGGCTGGAGTGCAGTGGCGCGACCTTGGCTTACTGCAACCTCCACCTCTAGGGTTCAAGTGATTCTCCTGCCTCAGCCTCCCAAGTAACTGGGATTACAGGCATGCGTCACCACATCCAGCTAATTTTGTATTTTTAGTAGAGACAGGGTTTCACCATGTTGGCCAGGGTGGTCTCAAACTCCCGACCTCAGGTGATCTGCCCACCTCGACCTCCCAAAGCGCTGGGATTACAGGCATGAGCCACTGCGCCCGGCCGATGGTTGCATTTTCTAAAGATTGCCACACCCCATGATGCTGACACCCCACCTCTGAGAGGTGGGGTCCTGTACCCTCCCTTTGCATTTGGTGGACCTGAGTGACTACAGCCAAAGTGATGTTTCATGACATCTGATGTAGGGGTTAGAAAAGGCCTCTTTCCTCTGGCTCTTCCTTGAGTGCCTGTCCTTGCACCCAACCACCATGCGGGGGGAAGCACGAGCTAGCCTTTGGAGACACTGCACAGAGAGGCTCATGTGAGGGAACCGAGGCCTTCAGCTGACAGCCAGCACCAACTGCCAGGCACACAAGGGAGCAAGCCTTCAGGTGGTCTGCCCCGGCCTTCACACTGTCCTGCCAAAGCCCAGAGGTCACGGAGCAGGGACGAACTACCTCCCCCACGCCCAGTCCAAATTCTTGACCTATAATATCCGTGAAGAAATTGGATGGTTGTTTTACACTTGTGTGTTTTGGCAGTAGGTATCTGCACAGCCATGGTAAGTGGAATACAGATAAAACCACAACGGAAGCTCCTGGGTCGTGCAGTGACCGCTCACGCCTGCATGCAACGGTACATTCTAGTCCCTCTGCTCACCCCAGAGGCAGACCCTGCTGAGATGCCGCCTGCTCTGTCCTGCAGCCCGCTGACTTCACTACCACCCCTCTCTGGGCTCTGCCTGATCCTTCTGGCACAAAAGCAGCATCAAGTAAGGTAAAGAGCCATGGGCCCTGGAGCCAGCCTGTCTTGGTGTGGACTGTGGTCCCACCCCTTAGGCGCTGTGTGGCCTCAGACAAGAGTCTTAAGCACTCCATGCCTGAATTTCCTCATCTGTAAGCGCGATAACTCCTTCCTTGGTGGGGTGAGGGGCTGTGAACGTGCAGAGCCTTAGATGAGCTGAGTGCACAGGCAAGAGTCCACGGTGTGTTGCCTACTGCTTTTTCCAGACCGTAAACTCCTTGCAGGTAGAATGCAGTCCTACCTCCAAAGACTACCGGAGGGCCTGGCAGCTACAAACGCAATCAACACTGAAGGAAGGAACGGACAGACGTACATGGGCCATCTCCCCAGGGGAGCCTGCCATGACAACAGGCTCAGGCAGGGCAGGAGGGGACACCCCACTCTTATTCCAACACTGGAGGAGCTCCTCTCAGAGGCTGGCTCCAAGATCATCAGCTTTCCAGTCTCCAATGACAAAACCCTCCAGGGAAGCCACAGGGGTCCCAGGCCCATGAGCCCTCTCTATCTGGAAGCTCCCTCCCGGGTGAGCCCATCCCTGCAGTCCTCTCTCAAGAAAGGCCTGGCACCTGGGCTCATGTCCTTTCCTGCCTCAAAACACACGTTAGCAGTCAGCACACTTTTGAATGACGTGGCCGGGGTCCATCCATAACCGGCTCTGCATACAACTGATCAGAATTGTCAAATGTCATCGTCTCTCTCAGTTCAAGATTCTTGACCTTTTGGAGGTGCTCTGGGGCCAGCCAGTCTATAAAATACCAATTTACTGACAGCTCCCTTTAAAGAATCATTAGTGAGTCGATAATTGACTCCCTAATTCTTGGAGAAGATGAGACAGAATCTCCTTAGACGTGACGCAACCGGCCCAAGCCCGGCCCCACTGACCAACTAGACACATCAGTTTCCCTCCTGGAAAGTACAGAGCCATGTGAAACACCACCTCCAACATCCCAGCAAAAGTGTTTAAATGGAAAACTCAACACATCCCCTGGAAACAAACACAAAGATGTGTGCCCTGGATGTAAGAAGAGCGCAGAAGCTGAGATGGGGCTGGAGGGAGGGTGCTTGGCCAGGAAGCTCACTGCCCACTGCCCTTCCCACCATGGCTCCAGTACCAGACCCCTGAAGAGGCCTCGGAGACACACAATGACTCTACACCTCCCTAAATATCCACCACAGCTGGTGTGCCAGGCTCTGTGCTAAGCCCTGGGGACTCATAAATGATCAAGGAGCCCTCAGGCCAAGCCCAGAGGGCAGCAACCAGCGTGAGGGAACGGACAGCCTCTCTCCTGGCCTGGACAATCAGGCTGTGGCTTCTCTGGAGGGTTTTGTCTTTGGAGACTGAAGAGTTGATGGCCTTGGGGCCAGCATCTGGGAGGAACTCCTCCAGCATTGGAAAGAGAGTAGGCTGTCCATTCCCCACCCCCAAGCCCCCCCTGGAACTTTCTGCCCCACTCTAGACACCAAATCTTAAACTACAGACAAATGCACACTATCAGGAGAGAAGGATCAGGATG